CATCAAGAAAACATCCCAACCCAGTGCTGCCCAAGCCCACAAGTCCAACATTAACCCATTTACCCATATGTCCAACTCCAATCCACAAAGTCCTCCTCCCTCTCACAAAACAGACACAATGATGCCGACTGCAGGAGGAAAGCCGAGTCAGTGAAGGTGTAACCATCTCAGCGCTGGCAGGGGTCTCCACATGGCTGCTCCAGCACCCAGGGCTGCATCGGGGTAGATCCGTGTGGCTTCTCCTCAGGGACATCTTGCAGGAAGGGCGCCATGCCAGCTGAAGCAGGGAACTGGCTAAGGCAGCTGCACCCTGGTCTGACCAACAGAAAGCAAGAGACCAGAGAACTAGAAAGGTGAGCCATTTATCCCTCCACCCTTCAATTAACCCCGCATGTGTGTATCGGCCAGGTTGGCACACTAAACTAACTACCTCAGGGGTTTGCTGTAACTTACACCATCCATATATACATTTACCTAAAATTCTGATGTTCATTCTCTTCGAGTGGGGTTATACGCACCGTTGCTATCAGTTCCCCCTTCCCACCTTTCCCCTCCTCTCTTCTCGTATCCTCAGGGCGTCATTACTCCTCTTACTGTTTCTGAGGGGTTTATCTGTCTTGAAGTGTCTTCTTCCGAGACAGATTTGTTTGTTTAAAATCTAGAAAGGTGTGTGTCTGAGTTGTCTCCTCTCATCCTACTTAGTCTGCACGCTAAGCACATCACCAGAGAAGCTGGAACACACAAAGAAGCATGTGAATTGGAGGAAGGCTCACTCATAACCTGCAATACACAGATGGCACAACCTTGCGTGCTGACAGTGGGGAGGACTTGAGGGCCCTGCTGATGAGGATCTAGAAGGGCAGCCTTCAGTATAGATCACAACTCACTGTCAAAGATAAATCAAAATCCTCGCAGCTGGACCAATCAGTCACATCATGATAATGGAGAAAGGTTGATTGAAGTTGTCAAGGGGGTTGTCTTGCTTGGACCCTCACTTTCTGGGAGACCCCACCACCACTGCAGGTCAGGGTATGCCCCGACTTCTAGATGGAGTCTTACATGAGTGCATGGTGTTAGCTGCCAGCCACCCCAGGCACAGCGAACAAGATGCCCCCGCCCAGCGCCATCCCCGGGGCTGGTTGGGAAGCCCCCTTTGGGGAGGTTGGTGGCCAAGCCTTTCTTCCTAGACCACCTCATTGTGGAAGCTCCGCTGACATCTGCTCAGTATCACAGCAACACACGAGCCTCCGTGAGGTCCACGGGGGGGCACTGAACCCAGGTCTCCTGCGGGGAGGTCTCCTGCAAGGACTCGACCCATGAGCCCCACTGCCCCTCTCCTCTTAACCCCTCCCACCTCCCGCCAGATTCAGGAGCCTGTTTTCCCTTTGCAGATTAGACCCCCTCACCCTGCAGGCTCCCACTCCCCACAGCCTGCTTCCTAACCCCTGCCAGGACAAGGCAGAGGGAAAACCCATTTCTGGGAGAAAACGTTCCACGCTGCTCACAGGGTGGGGCCTGACCTTGGCAAGGCTGGCAGGTCATTTGCCCGGTCAGGTTTACTCAGTGCTCACTGACGGCACAAGGGCAGGCAGGGCCTTCCAGAGGGCCAGGCCACACGTGGCCAGACTCCCAACCCAATGCGGGCCAGGCTCCCCCACGCTCAGACCAAGCCCCACCTCACTCATGCCAGGCGCCTGCTAGACTCCTCTCACTCTCTCATACCAGGCTCCCCCAACATCCATGCCAGGCTCCCCGGAGCTCAGACCAAGCCCCATCCACTTCACCCAGGCCAGACTCCTCCACCCTCAGGCCAGACTCCTCCTTTGTCTCTGGCTCCGAATGAGCTGAGACCAAGCGCCCCCCTCCCCCTTCTGACAGAGTGGGGACTCCTCGCTCTAACTAAGCATGAGGACAGAGTGGCACGCATGTCCCCAGGAATCCTCCTCCACAGGCCCACCCACCGCCCTGTGGGAGCAAGGACAGCACAGCCAGCCTCGTGACCCCAAGACGGAGTGGGAAGGGCTGGGGCGCGATGTCTTCCTCTGGGTGACGACAAGCCCACGGTGCTCAGAGTGGACACGTGTGCCAGAGTGGACGCTGCCCCGTGCGGCTTTCCAGGGGTCTTTCAGGTGCTGATCACCAGCCCTTTCTTGGTGGGGGGGGGGGGGCCTGGGTAGGCCTGAACCTCCACCCTTCCGGTTACCACACAGTAATGCCAGCCTTGTGCCCAAGCCCAGGAGGACCTTGTCGGTTAAAGATGCTCAGGAATTACAGGTGGCACTTGTGGGATGTCCACGTGACCAGAAGGCCCCACTGAAGAGATCTGGTCTGGTGCAAGACGTCCCTGCTCCACCCTCGGGAAGCAGGGGTAGCTAGAGGAGCTGACGCTCAGCTTGTCCCCACAGAGGGGCCCTCACAGGACCAAGGGCTCCTTCTGTGCGAATCAATGACAGTGAGTTTGCACTTGAGTGAGATAGAAGCTGGTTGAGAAGGGCCCGGGGCACCGCCCCTCCCAAGGGTGGGGCTTCACGTGCCTCAGCAGGAGGGTGAGGGCCAGCGGGGAGGGGGGCCTGCAACTGGGGAGTGACTCGGCAGAAGCCAGAGCCAAGCTCTGCAGCAAATGACGTCAGCACTTAGGGGGTCAGCCGGAAGCATCTTCACTTTCAGAGAGCTCAAGAACGCAAGCCAAACTCCCGGCCATCGAGTCGAGTCAGAGACCCCACGGGACAGGGGAGAGCTGCCCCGTGGGTTTCTGAAGCTGTGAGTCTTCATGGGAGCAGCAAGCCTCCGCTTTCTCCCACAGAGCAGATGGTGGTTTCGAACGGCTGACCTAGCAGTCAGTAGCCTTGAGTGTAACCCACTGCCCCTCCAGGGCCCCAGTCCTATTGTCTGTGGCGGATTGAATTCAGTAACCCTCAAATCAGTGCTGAATTCCTGGCTCTTGGCGCGGTGGACAGCGTCCTGTTGGGAACTAGCATTTTTCTTTTGAGAGGGTAAAGAAGCTGGCCATGCCAGGGTGGGGTGGGTCCTAACCCTAATCTCTTCTGAGCGCTAAACAGAGCCAACTAGACAGAGAAGAACCTTAATGGCAGATGTCACCTATGTCGGTCTGTGAGCCATAAGTTCAAAGCCACCAGTGGCTCCTAGGGAGGACAACCAGGCTTTTGACTCCCGTAAAGAGTCCCACCGTCCTGAAAACCCACAGGGGCAGTTCTACCCTGTCCTCTAGGCTCGGCATCGACTCGGTGGCAGTGAGAGACGCACACGCGGGAGACAGGGCTGCGTAAGAGATGTCTAGGAGCCAGGGAGCAAGGCAGATCCAGGACGATGCCCCAAGAAGGACCCGCCATGGTAGAGACCCTGACCTAAGCTTCTGGAATCTTCTGTTCACTTCTGGACTCTCCTGCTACGAGAGCGCAAGGAGACGCAGGCATGGTCTGCCGCTCGAGGTCTCGAGGAGTTCGGCTTAATGCTGTGGGTCCAGTTGGGGCTCTCAGAGCTGCCCAGGAAGGTCAGGACAATGAAAAGCTGGGCTTACTCAGCGATGGACCCTGTTTCTGCACTGGGGAAGAAGGTGCTGGCAGGAGGTCTGTCCCTCCTGATCCACAGCCCTCGAGGCAGCTCTCCCAGGAAGCTGTGCCAGCCCTCACTCGTCAGGAGCCAGAGGTGGACCAGAACCCTCCCTTCCATGGAGGCTGGGGCAGGAGAGGGCCACGGGGCTCACAGGACCACACGGGCTATCAGCACGCCAGGAGCCACACTCCACTCCTGAATGGAGTCTCTCTCAGGCTGCCCCGGAAATCTCCAAGCTGAAAAGGAGGCAGTAGCTGACTAACCTCTCCTCACCCCCGGAGTGAGAGAAATTTTCCTATCAAAGCCCCAGCCTGCTTGCCCTGCCTCCCAAAGACTCATGCTTACTGCAATCCTTCAAGTGAGATCACTGACGCCGAGGTTATGTAATTAGAAATAGCCACCACCAGACCACAGTCTCCGGGCGCAGGGCTTCCCAGAACCCAGACACGTCCAAAGGCAGCGCTCACACCAGAAAGCCCAGCTTAGGTTGCGAGCACAGACACAAGTGCCACCCAGGTAAGTGGCGACCATCTTTTTCTTGTATGAGAGTCAAGGTTAAGATCGGAATCTCTTAAAAAGAAGGAGGGAGGGAGATTCCTTTTCCATTTCACTGTATTGCCGAGATCTTCTGCTTTCCCTGTGTGTGTCCGTTCCAGTTCAAGGTGAGAGGCACTTGGGGTGTGCCTGGCTGGAGGGACCCTGGTCTCCCCAGAAGAGAAGGAGGAGGAGAGAGAGTGTTTTTAGCAGGTCCCGGGGGCTGCAAAGCTGTTCTCCCTCAGGGGAGCTGAGACCGCAGGGCAGGGCTGGATCCAGCCCCCAGCCCTGGCTACATGGGGGACAGCCACAAGTCACTCCCCATGTCAGACAGATCCAGGGGTCCCCAAACGGCTGCTGGCAGAATCCCGTGAGATCAACACCTCTCTGTGTGGTTTGTAGCTTCACAACAGCTCTCTCACCACACCTTGATCAGCCCTGTCAGAAAGCTGCTGAAGAAAGCACATTTGTTGAAAAAAGTCTTCTCCCCCAGCCCCCCACCCCAGCGAATTCACAGAATTCAGGAAAGACCCACTAAAGATGAGAGAGCCCTGTTGCTATTAGGCAGCCTGGTGTCTAGGCAAGGATGGGCAGTGTTCCTGGCAGGACTGGCTGCTCCTTACCGAGCACTGAGGCAGCCCTGGTGGCACGGCGCTGAAGCGCTCACCTGCCAACCCAAAGGCGGATGGTTTGAAGCCCTCAGCCCGCTCTGTGGGAGAACGGCACAGCTGTCTCCTTCCCTAAGCTTACAGCCTTGGAAACCCCATGGGGCCGCCGTTCGCTGATCTGTCCGGTCTCGAGGAGTCAGCATCGGCCCCGTGATAAGGCCTTTGGTTTGGGATTGGGTGCTGAGCACCTACGGGGGCCGGTGTCGGTGCTGGAGAAGACAACGTCTCCCCTGGCCGCCATGGCAACCCCTTGAACTGAGCGCAGACGTGTGCTGGAGTGGCCACGGCCACAGTCGGCTCCCCGGCAGGCGAGGGAGGACAGGACGGGGTGTGCTGACTCAGTCAGGCTACAACTGAAGTCGGAGTGCCCGTGGGCACAGGTGGCAGCGTCAGAGTTCCTGGCAGAGAGCAGCCTCGCCTCTTGCATTGCTTCCTGATGTCTGCTTTCCCACAACAATTTGCCGTGAACTAACTGTCTTTAAAAAAAAGGGGGGGGGAGTCCTGGTGGCAGAGTTGCATGTTGGGATGCTACCTGCATCATCAGCAGTTCGAAACCACCAGCCGCTCCTCAAGAGAAAGAGGAGGCTTTCTCCTCCCTTTCAGAGTTACAGTCTGAGAAACCCGCAGAGGCAGTTAGGGTGGATGTGAGTCAGAATCAACTTGTTGGCAGTGAGTTTGGCTTTGGGGGAGTGACTTAAAACAGCATGTTTCAGCTGTTACGGGAATAGCAATTCCAGGAGGGCAGGGGGAAGGTGGAGAGCGGAGAGGAGGAAGGGGAAAACGATGGAAATGACAGACACATAACCACACTCGCCCCCCCACGGGGGGGAAGAACAGAAACCGTGGGGGAAGGGAGATATGAAAATAATAATAATTTATAATTTATCAAGGGGTCACAAGGAGGGGGGCAGGGAGGGGGAAAAGAGGAGCTGATACCAAAGGCTCAAATAGAAAGGAAATGTTTAGAAAAGAATGATGGCAACATATGTACAAATGTGCTTGATGCAATTGGTGTCTGGATTGTTATATGAGCTGTAAGAGCCCCCAGTAAAATGATCTTTTAATTACAAAAGACAACAGCATGTTTATCTGTCGTCTGACAGCCCTGGGGCCGAAGTGTAAAGCCAGTGGCGATGGGTCGGCATCATCGGGCCTGTCTGCTTTCCTTCCAAAGGCTCCAGGGAGCACCCACTCCCTTGCCTCCTCCCAAGTCCCAAGGCACCCAACCACAGCCCTGGACTTGTGGCCCCTCCTCCGTCTTCAGCTCTCTCTGACTCTGGCCTTCCTGCCTCCTCCTGCCCCCTGCTGACTGCCTCAGACCACTGGGGTCCTGCAGGACCCCGTCTCTCCCTCTCTAGCTGGTCCGAGGACCCACACCTGCAGAGACCCCTTGGACACATAAAGTGGGCCCATCGCAGGGTCTGGGAGTGTCCTGCGCCACCCTTCAGCCCCACTCCCTGGGACACAGCCATCCCCGGGCAGCCTTTCTCTCAACCAGCCATGCGCCCCTTCACAGGGACACAGGAGCCAGGGCCCCTTCCACACATACCCCAAGAGCTATCCGGGTCTGAAATTCCCAGGACAGATATGGCCCTCCACCTGTATGTTCAAGGTCACCTCCCCTCATACTTCAAGAGATGGAGAGGTGGGGAGCACAAGACTTATGGGGTCTCTGGATTCTCCAGAAGGAGCCCCCTATCTGGTTCCTCCTTGGCCTCCCTGTGGTAAAGACTCTGAGTCTGAAGACACATGACTCTCATTTGCCTTAGTTCCCTAGGGTGGTGGTCGGGAGGAGCAGAGAGGCTTTGCCATGGGGACCCTGGGCCCCGGTGGGGCTGTAGGAGATCCTCTTGCCTTTCATGCAGGAGACCTGGGTTCGATTCCTGGCCAAAGCACCTGATGTGCAGCACCACCCACCTCTGATGTTCAGGGTGTTTCCCAAGAGCCGGCAGACCAGGAAGGAAGGGAGGCTGAGCAGCCTACTGCTGAAAACCAGCCAGGGACCTGGCCTGTAGCCGGTCACAGGGACGGGACGGACAGGGCAGGGCAGCTCCTCGGTCTGCTGTGAGGGCTCACCATGCTTCATTCCGTCTGAGGTCACCGACCCCTCTTCCAGTCCGTGAGCACCGTAAGCACAAGGGGCTGGTTGGCATGTTCACCATGCCCCCTCCCCGCCCCGCCCCTGGCGAAGTGCGGCCATGAATGAGGTGCCCATGAGATACTTGTGCACCTGTTCATACGACTAATTAGCAGCTCCCAGGGGGCGCTTCCTCTGTGCCAGGCATCACTGCCCGCAGAGCCAACACAGCCAGCCCTCACCAGAGCCCTGTAGGAAAGATGGGGTGACATGCAGACTCACAGCATGACAGGGGTCTGCAGGGACCCAGACTCTGGGTTCAGAGCCTTGGTCTGTCCTTCATGCCAAGGGGCAGCAAACATTTCTATTGAGGGTCCTAGGCCTGACAGTCTCAGCTTTGCTGGCCGGTTCACCTGTCCTGACAATGCCATTCTGCCGCGGTAGCACAAATGCAGGCGCCGATGGGTCCCGACGCGTGATGGGCATGTGTGGGTCAGAGCGAGCTGCGCTCCAGAGGGCTCTCAACGGCCGGTCTTCCCACAATCCAGCATCAGGCCTTTCTTCCGGGGTGCCCCGGGGAGCCTCAAGTTTCTTCTGAGAGTCTCCACCCTTTGCACCCCTTCGTGCCTCCCACCCCAGGAACTCCAAAGGTGGCCCTGGGCCGTATGTACACAAAAATGCGTGTGGTTGTGTTTCAGGTCACTCACTGGATGGCATCCCAGCCCCTCAACCAGAGTCAGTTCTTCCAGCCAAATGCCACGTCCTGTGAAGATGCCCAGGCATGGGGCCTGCTGTCCAAGGTGCTGCCCACGCTCATCCTTACCATCTGCTGCTTCGGTCTCCTGGGAAACACCTTTGTCCTGTCTGTCTTCCTGCTGTCCCGGAGGCGCCTGAGTGTGCCAGAAATCTACCTGGCCCACCTGGCAGCCTCTGACCTGGTGTTTGTCCTGGGCCTGCCCTTCTGGGCAGAGAACATCTGGAACCAGTTCAACTGGCCATTTGGAGCTGTCCTCTGCCGCCTGGTCAACGGAGTCATCAAAGCCAACTTGTTCATCAGCATCTACCTGGTGGTGGCCATCAGCTGGGACCGCTACCGCGTGCTGGTGCATCCCATGGCCACCTGGAGGCAGCGGCGGCAGCGGCTGCAGGCCCAGGTCACCTGTGTCCTCATCTGGGCAATGGGAGGCCTCCTGAGCATCCCCACGTTCCTGCTGCGAGGTGTCGACACCATGCCCGGCCTGAACATCTCGGCCTGCGTGCTGCAGTTCCCCCAGGAGACGTGGGCCTGGCACACAGCGAGGATGGTGGAGCTCAGTGTGCTGGGCTTCCTCCTGCCGCTGGCTGCCATCACCTTCTTCAACCACCACATCCTGGCCGTCCTTCGAAGGCGGGCGGATGTCCGCAGCATGAGGTGCGGGGGCTCCTCGGACAGCAAGACCACGGCGCTGATCCTCACGCTGGTGCCCACTTTCCTGGTCTGCTGGGCCCCCTACCACTTCTTTGCCTTCCTGGACTTCCTGTTCCGGGTGGGCGCCCTCCAGGGCTGCTTCTGGGACCAGTTCTCGGACCTGGGCATGCAATTCGCCAGCTTCTTCGCTTTCATCAACAGCTGCCTGAATCCAGTGATTTACGTCTTCATGGGCCAGCTTTTCAGGACCAGGGTCCGGGAGTTTTATAAGCAGTACACCCCTGGAAGCCGGGATGCTGCCTCCTTGTCTGCCAGGAAAGAGATTCTCCAACTCTTCTGGCGGAATTAAGACTGCAGTGAGTCGAGAAACGTCCTTAGACGCAGCTTCTACACAACAAACAGTACTGGGTTCGGCTGGACAACGGCCCCCAAAGATGCCGGTATCCTGGGTACAGTGAACACTATCTTTAATGCCAAGGAGGGCTCTGCCGGAGTGGTAAAAGGAAGGATGTGGAATGAGGAGATTCTCCTGGACAGCTGGGGTATTCGCAGAGCCCCGATGGGAGGGCAGCAGCAGAAGGTTTGCCTGCAGAATGAGGAGGTGTGATGGTGAAAGCAGGAGACCAAAGGGTGTGAGGAAGGGATCCGGCACCACACAGCCTCGAGCCGTTGCTGGAACAGGACAGGGGCTATCCCACAGCACCCTGCTGACCCCTGGACTCTCACCCCTCTGACCCTAATTCTGGACTCCGGCCTCCAGAACTGTACGGGAATAAATGTGTGTCGTTTGAAGCCAAGTACGAACTCGTTTGTTACAGCGGCAATAAGAAATTAACACCAAAATCCAGCAAGAGTCTATTAACACATTTCCATTTATCCATTCTAGTCATGTTAGCCTACATGCTCAGAATACAGAGATAATAGACCTAGGCACCCCATCCACACAAGGAGTTTACATAGACCTAAGATACACATAGCTAAACATGTAGTGTAATATGATATAATAATACCCAAAACTCAAACTCCCTGCCATTGAGTTGATGCAACGCATCGTGACCCTGTAGGACAGGGTAGAACTGCCTCTGTGAGTTTCTGAGACTGTCACTCTTTACAGGAGTAGAAAGCCTCGTCTTTCTCCTGAGGAGCAGCTAGTGGTTTTGAACTGCTGACCTTGCGGTTAACAGCCCAACTCGTAGCCTACTGCACCAATAAAACAGAGATTCAAGTAATGTAACATAATATACAGAGGAGGAGAATGGCCTAAGCCCACTGCACCTTGAGCAGGCAGAGGGCAAGGCTCGGCTTCTTCCAGGGAATCTAGGGCTACCTGAGAAGTCTCTGTGAAGGTAGAAGGTAGCGGTGTGGAGACAGGGATGGAGGCGGGTGGAGATGTAACCGAAACCCAAAGGTGGACGAGAGGGAGCCACTCCTGAGAGGACACTTGCTGCGTCAGCATCTCCAGCTCCTAGGGCTACAGCGGTCCACTGGGGGTGGACCCGCCTTCAAGGAGCCCATCACCCAATGGCACCACAGATGATATGGGGGGTCGTTAAAAGAGGGTGATGGCTGCTACCATGGGGGATAGGAGGAGCAGAGGGTGCTGGGTGGCCACAGAAAGGGGACACCCAGCGAGTCTGGCTGAGGGTGGGCTGTTAGAGAGGGTTATTTGGGGGAAGAGGCGTATAAGCAGAATCCCACGCAGCAAGTTTTCCAGGCCAATGGGGAAAATGAGACATCCCCCCTCCCCCACCAGACAGAGGAAACAAACAAGAGGGAGGGGCAGGTAGGTCTGTAGGCTCCAAGGCGGAGGTGGAAGGGAAGGGGGCATGAGCAGGGCGCTGGGCTTCAAGGAGGCGGAGCATACAGAGATCAGGGTTTTAAGAGAATGAAGACCCTGGGGGTACCCACATTCATCAGTAACAAGGAGGGCCCCAAGGAAGCTTCCGGGAGGTCCGAAGGTCCGGGCTGCTTGGAAGACCCAGCTGAAGTGAGGAGTTGTGAACTTGTTGGGAGAGTTGATTCTAGTCATGCTCAGTGGGCCCGAGGAAGTCAAATTCCCCCGCAACGGGGGTTTGGTCCAAGTGAGGTGGATGGTCATCCTTCCAGGGAGCTGGAGAGTGATCAGACTCCGGGACCAAGGGGAGGGGGAGAAGGAGAGGGGCCAGACAAAAGACAGGTGTAGTGAGCACATCCAGGTGAGAGAGCGAGAAAGATCAGAGGCTGTGGGCCCAGAGTAGCAGCCTGTGGAGCATCTGGGAGAGGATGAGGACCAGAGAGGCGCGGCATTGGGTGGTTGAAGTAGATGGGTGGGGCAGAGGAGGCAGTGAAAGGACGGAGTGGACAGATGGAGGACGGAATGTCCACTGAGACCCACAGGCACACGGTCTGCTAGAGGATCTTGTGGGGAGGGGGCAGTCCATGGGTCTGATGTCAGTCTTCACAGAATGGGGTGAAGGAAGCAAGCAGACCCCAAGATACTGGGGGAGACGAGCACAAGTCAACGGACTCACTCTAGAAAGGAGGGATCCGGGTTCCTGGAGGCTGGAGATGAGACTTGGGGAGACTAGCATGGGCTAGACCACCAGGACCACAGAGGCCATCAGGGGTCACCTCCTGATTTGTGCTCTAGGCCCCCTGCTCCCAGTGGTTCCCCCGAAAGTACAGTGGGGATTGGGGCTGGTTTGGGGACCCAACTGCATATATGTGCTATGTGGACACAGGCGGCTCTACACATGCCTCTGAGGGGGTTGCCATCACGTATATTGCATGGTGCTGGGTCTCATCAAGTTAGTTGCAACGCATGACAACCCCGTGTGACGGAGCTGTCCGCTCCATCGGGTCTCCGGGCTGTCGTCCTGAAAGCCGGCGATGAATGAGGAAGCTGACGAAGACGTGGCTCACTGGGATTACGGTGCTATCAAAGAGTACCAAACGCACCATGAAGTAACCGAAGGGCTAACCGGTCTGCCTCGGAATGCTTCAGAGCGGCGAGGACAGTGAGATTTCCTCTCACATACTTTGACACGCGCTGAGGAGAGACCTGTCTCTGAAAAAGGGCATCATGCCCGGTAAAATAGAGGATCAATGAAAAGGAGGAAGGCCGCCAAGGAGCTGGATTGTCACTGTGGCCGCAACAACGGCTCATCAAAGGCAACAACTGAGAAGACAGTGCAGGGCTGGGCAGGTCGCTGTGGGTGGGGGCATCCCCCCTGGCACCGAGCATCAATGACCACCGGCACGGGAGCGCCTGACTCAGAGCCCCCACGTGACTGCAGGCTGAGCACCTTTCTGTGAGCGGCCACGTCCTCCCTGAGCATTGAACCTCTGGGTCTCCTCTCTGGTCCACAGCAGAGCCGGATGTCCTGCTTCTCCCGGCACGTGGAAGCCCCCGCCGCTCTCCCTGAGCTCCTTCGCCCAACACAGATTCATGCGCCTCTGCCTTGGGCCAGGCACTGAGAACACAGCGTGGGCACAATGAGAGGAGGTCCAGGTCCTCTTGGGGTTCAGCTCTGACCCCCACACCCACGCCCTGCACAGCGAGTAGTCAGGGCCCTGATGGTCAGGCATGCACACACACCCCTGCCCGTCAGCTGTGGGCAGCAAGTGCAGCTCCTTCCTGCCCCCACGGAGCCCCTTTTCCAGGTGAAGAGGAAGAGGCTGAGGTGGGCAGGTAACTTGCCGAAGCAGAGGCTGGCATCCCCAGGCTGGTGTGACAGCAATGCCAATGGCATTTCTGCGTCTCCCAGCAGGAATTCACCAAGCAACACCCCGGAGCACCCTGCTGAGCACCCTGCTGAGGGGTGCTACTGAGGATGCCCTCACGTTGGGCCCAGGCCAATGACAACCTGGTGCAAAGTAGACAGAAGGCCACCGCCGCTGGTCCTGCAGCACAACACGATCTCTAGTACATGGGACCCTGTGACCAGTCGATGCTGATGTTGTGACATACAGTCGAGTCGGTTCGAATTCACATGTTGACCAGATGTACACCACCATCTCGGGGACCAAATGTACACCACCACCAGGTGTACACCACCACCACAGGGACCAGATGTACACCACCACCAGGTGTACACCACCACCACAGGGACCAGATGTACACCACCACCAGATGTACACCACCCTCACAGGGACCAGATGTACACCGTCATCACAGGGACCAGATGTACACCACCCTCACAGGAACCAGATGTACACCGTCATCACAGGGACCAGATGTACACCGTCATCGCAGGGACCAGATGTACACCACCACCACAGGGACCAGATGTACACCACCACCAGATGTACACCACCA